ACAAGGAAGTGTCCATTCATGAAAATGACAGCGAAAACTAAAAAAATAAAAACTTTACGAGTTCAGATCCGTCTGTCAGAGATCCAGAAAAGAAAATCTGTCATTTTTAGCAGGTCAGCTGTGGAATAAAAAGAGCTGCTAAATGTATAAACAACTGTGTTAAATCATTTTCATTTATTCAGAAGACACTGTCGTGTTTTTTACATGACAATATAGCCATTTTGGCCTTTAGAAAAATGTTTTTTGAGGGTATCAACTCACAATAAATGTCATTTTGGGAGGTCTAGCCACTCATTTTTACTCAGTACTTTTACTTTTAATACTTAAGTACATTTTATGACAGAACTTTACTTTTGAAATTTAAGTACAAAATATATAAGATATTTTAAGACTTTTACTCAAGTAATATTCTTAGAGGAGACTTGAACTTTTACCAAAGTAAATTTATGGTAAGATACAGTACTTGTACTTCTACTCAAGTATCACTTTGAGGTACTTTATACAACACTGGTTGTTTCGGAAATGTGGTGTTTGAGGAAATGGGTTAAATATGTTTCATGGTGCAGTCACGCACTTCCTGGTCACACAACGTTCTGTAATTGCGCACCAAATGTGTAAAAATGCGCACATTACGACAAAAATTGTCATTAAATCTGGTTTTATTTAGAAGTAAATAAAATTGCTGTTCAATCCAGTTCAAACGAACTCTGAAAGCTCTCACTGGTTTTTACTGAAGCCCTGTCAATGCATCACAACTTCCGAGCTCAGAGGTTTAAAAGAAATAAAAAATTCCTGTATCTGCATCATGATACGGAACCTCACCAAAATTTAATGGTGTGTTCCTTTGGCCAATACCCACATGTGGTAAAAATGCCATGACAATGTGTCCACAGGTTCTTGAGTAATTTTGTCCACAGACAGAACGACAGACATTTGCGACCGAAAACATTACCTCGCCCCTTGGCGGAGGTAAACGTAAATCATTAGTTCTGCTATTAGCTGATTAGCAGAACCATGACCACAAGACATTCTGTGAGCTCTAGGGTCAACAGAATCTTCTAACTTTGTGACTTCCTGTCTGTTCACCTGCTACTCTCAGTCAGACAGGCACAACCCATGAATTTATTGCTGCAGGTGCATTTCATAGTTTGTACCCCGGTGTTAAATTACACCCCCATCATCTGCTTTTAACTTCTTCATGCCTCCAGGTATCGGAATATCCAGTCATCATGTCCATTGAGAACCACTGTGGCATTGAGCAACAAAGAGTCATGGCCCAACACCTTAACCATATCCTTGGTGATAAGTTGCTCAAAAACACACTGAATGACAGGGCTCCAATCGAGTTGCCATCTCCCCAGGTGAGTTGTTGACACCATGGCTTCCAAGAGAAAATGGTCTTTTGGTAACATATCTAAAAAAGTGAGGTTTTCCACTAAATTTCCCAGGCATATCTTCCCAGTACCAATGTTCCCTCTGGTACTTATATTTCCCGGTACCTACTGTGAGTTCTTTAATACCTATGTTCCCAGAATCCCAATGTTACCTCTGGTACACTCATCCAAATTATCCGCAGTGTCTATGTTTCCTGGTACCGATGTTCTCCAGTAACAGAGAATATTGGTACTGAAGAATATATACCAAGGAGATGCCAAAGTTTACTTATTTTTTTAATGCAAAGTAGGAAAATGACATAGATTTGGTTCAAAACTTTCTTCATAAATGATTTAGTTCTATGGTTGTTTTATTGGTGATTTCACAAAATCTTTGGTAAATTTTATTGAACATTAAGATTAGTTTTATTTGCTCTCTTAGGATCTTAAAGGAAAGATTCTTCTGAAGGCCAAAAAAATTGGTGGTCTGGAGGAGAATTGTAATGGGATGGTGGGAGACTCTCTGACTGGGGAGGTCAGCGAAGAAGACGAGGCGGCCGATATAGATGAAGATAACCAACGTCGTGAGAGCATCCGTTACAGGGGGAAGGTGGGTGTGCCTGTCGAAACATTTGGCCTTGCAGCAAACATACTGTAGCAGACACATTGATGTTTCTGACTGATTTAGATCCAGTTTCCTTTATTATAATCACAGCTGCACATAAGTGGTGCGCAGGTGCGCAACAATAATAAAAAAAGGCACACCAGATGGAATATCATAAGGCTCACTTGCAAACTTAAAATTGTACCAGAGATTGTGAAAACAACAGCTAGCGGGGCTCTAGAGTGCGACCAATTTGGTCGCAAATGCGACCTGATTTCTTAATAAAAAAGTTGCACTGGTGCATCTGGATTGTAGTACAAGGAGGGTAGTGGGACCCTGCCGTGTCAAGATTAAATAGATTCTGCTTTCAATGAATCAGACGAACCCCAGAGACCGTTTTATCCAATCAGAGCAGAGCAGAGCGGGACTTTCAGTGAGGCCAGTTTTCAGCAGAGACTGAAGCAACGGTCAGTTCTGAGTCAGCAGACATCTCCTCCTGCACTTCACTCCTGAGCTACCAGAGACTTTGGTCTCTAAAACCTAACTTTATATTAAATATTAATGTGTTCAGAGCGTCGTTATCAAACAGATCTGTCCAACATGAGTGACTAAACTCCTCTCCTTGTGAGAGAGCACACCGCTGTGAGTCTTTCTGTGAGGCTCACTGTTTGAGTTCTTCTGTTTAAACCAAATGAACATTTGTTTGCCCCACAATAAGGCAGAGATGAGTCTCTGTTTAACGTCACTGTATGTCCAAAAAAAAAAAGAAAAAGAAAAAGAAAAACCTCGCCCTAGGTCAGGGGTGTCAAACTCCWGTCCTCGAGGGCCGCTATCCTGCATGTTTTAGAGGTTTTCTTGCTCCAACACACCTGATTTTGATTGCTGGGTGATTAACAGGCTTCTGCCCAATTTGAAGAGTTAATTCAATCACTGAATCAGGTGTGTTGGAGCTGGAAAACCTCTAAAACATGCAGGATAGCGGCCCTCGAGGACTGGAGTTTGACACCCCTGCCCTAGGTGAATGAGTTTTAAATGCTCTTGTCATAAAGAGCCACAAATTTCATTCCTCACAATTGTTTAACAGACATTCAATCATAAAATGTTCACTTTGAGATGTTTATATCAGCCACTCAGCCACTTATGTAGTTTACAAAATTTATGCAGAGTAAAAAAATAAAAGAAAAAACTGAACATAAAACAGAACAGAGTGACGTTAAGTTGCCCGATGCTCCTCTAGACAAATGTGTTAAATGACTCAAAGAAAATATGAGGACTAAGCAACAACCCTTGGCTCACCCCTGAGAACCGGACCAAAAATATTRTGTGCATTTCTGATTACAGTGACCTTTATAACAACCATGTGTCTCACTGATTGGTTCAGTATATTTGATAGCTTATTCAAATATTTATATTTATTTTTCAGTAGTGGTAGGCACAGCTAACCAAAAGGTTTTCTTCACTAACTCATAATCCGCTAACTAAAAATATAGCTTTGCTAGTGCTAAACTTGCAAAAAAAAAAAAAAAAACAATTAGCAGAAGCTAATGTTACAGAGCTAGGCAAGTAAAGAARAAAAAGACTCAGTTGAGTCATTGTCACCTTGTGTGAAGTGTAGCACGTACTTGTCTGAATGGTTGTAAAACTGTCTGGGAAGAAGAGCCAATGCTGCACTATAGGTGTTGGATAACTGAAACCTGAGGCCAGGTTGTTTTTTCCTGTTTAAGGTAGATGTCTTTCTTTCTTTCTTTCTTTCTTTCTTTCTTTCTTTCTTTCTTTCTTTCTTTCTTTCT